GTGTGTGTGTGTGTGTGTGTGTATGTTTGTGTGTGTGCATGCCTGCATCTGTGTGCACATGTGTACACAGCATGATACATCAGCCACCAGATATAGGCTGCAGTAAATCAGATCTTGGTAAAGTTCCTTCTTTGGACTACGACTCCCAGAATTCATCAGCAAGACATGAAGTCATCAACAGCTGTGGTTTGTACCCCGAAATCAGTATTCTAAGATATAACGCCTCTAGATAGTTCTCCCAAGAAAGAGCCACCAACACTTACAGTATTTGCCATGAGTTTATTTAACCCCTTTTCAAGAAGTCAACAAGGCCAGTAATAATTGCTTCCTCCGAGGGTATCAAATCCCAGCGTTTATCCGTGGTGCAACATAAAACCTTCTGTGTAAATCCTCAACACTAGAAGAACAATACACAGGAACCAGATGTGTTCATCCGAAACACAACATGGGGTTTTAGTTTGGGATAGGAACCATAGCAGAATTATTCCCACCCCACTCTCATGTCCCAGCGCTCACTTTCCCTGCTGTTTTTCTATCTTGGTGGGCTTGAGCAGAACCTCCCTCTAGACAGCTGGCGTGAGTGAAATGGACAATGGGAGACGCATCGTCGTACCTGAAGGATCCCTCTGTGCTCCTTTCAGAGAATCTAACTATTCCCCTTTTGGACAATAAAACCGTAGCTGAGAAAAACCAGCTTCGGGGACACGTACTGCATAGATTTGGGGCTACCCACTGGGAGCAACTTTTTCCCCCAAGGAAGACCAGAGACCCTTGAATTCCCCATGCTGCTAGTCCTCAGAGAGGTAAACAAACCACCCCACTTCCTCAAGCCATCAGGCTAAAGATGTGAATCGGAGAGAAAACGAAGGGAAAAGGCATTTGTTGTGTAGGCTGTAAGATATGAGCTGTGAGGTAGGTGTGTTTGTGCTGGACTTGGGAGTGGACCGTGATCTCAAGAGACTTTGTGGCAAGACAGAACCCCCCCTCAGTTCCATCCCAGCCTCGCTGGAGCAAACGGGGCAACACGCGCTCCTCCCTCAGAGTTGCCAGTATTCTCCATTAATCGTATTTTAACGGACAAGCTCCAGTTCTCGAACTAGGCCTGTTTCCAAACTCAGTGTCTCCTGACTGGGAATCTTAGGGTGCAGAGAATAACAAGACCAAGCTATGTTTGGAGAACATTGGGGGACACTTTCAGTCAGTACCTACTTTCTTTGCTGATCCATTGAGGAGCCCTGCAAGCCCCATATTGTCTATGGGTCCACCTGAGAGAGATGGGGTTAATTGAGATGTGCAATCATTGCATTTTGTTCAAATCAAGAATTTTCTCCCCAGAGTCAAACTGTGGGTTTGTAGGAACTATGCACAGCACTGAGAGGCCAGTGCCTGTCCCGTCACCAATTTCCAAATTTAAAAATCCATCCATCCATCCATCCAGCCATCCATCCATCCAGCCATCCATCCATCCAGCCATCCATCCATCCAGCCATCCATCCATCCAGCCATCCATCCATCCAGCCATCCATCCATCCAGCCATCCATCCATCCAGCCATCCATCCATCCAGCCATCCATCCATCCAGCCATCCATCCATCCAGCCATCCATCCATCCATCCTTCCTTCCTTCCCTTCCCTTCCTAAAAACATCAGTAAAGTAACAAATTAACATTCTAATCAGCTTTCTTCAACCTGAGGCTCTCCAGATGTGCTAGATCACAACTGAGGGGAGTGTCAGGAATTATGGAGCCCATGAAATTGGAGAAGCCTGGTTCAAATGATAAAATACTTGTTTAAAAACACCCCTTAAAGGCAAGAAACCAGATGCTCCTGGAAGACAGGACTTGGCTGACACTACATCACTGGCATGAATGTCTGTCATCTGCATAGTGAAGGGAGAAAGAAACCAGATTTATAGCTTTGTGGGAAATCTGAAAGGCCAAAGTGAGCTCTAATCCAGCATCCTGTGGCCAACGGTGGCCGCCAGATTTCCCTGGGAAGCACACAGGCAAGGGCTGAAGTCAACTGTTTGCCCCACAAGGATGAAAATACTCTGTGTTTCCAGTTGGGGTCCCATGTTTGGATGCACCTTCTGTGGGTGACCTTCTCCCCCAGACTAGCCGGGCATTAGAGAGTCCCTTGCTGAAGGTCCGCCAGCATCCGCTTGACCTCCTTCTCCACCCGCATGAACTTGGCTTTCTTCCACGGGTTGACCGTCTGCCGGCGGCTGCTCTGCAGGTCCTCCAAGAAAAGGCTGAGGTGGCGCTGCACCCGGTCACGGTCCCAAATGGGCAGGTTCTTCTGGACCACCTTCAGGATGATGGTCCAATAGTCCGAGACATCGGCCCCCATCGTCAGGAAGATGAGCACCTTGATGCCGTCCCGCTCCTTCCGCATCTCGTGCAGGGCTTGCTTCCCTTCCTCGCTGATCTCATTGAAGTATAAACTAGATGGGGGAGGGGAGACGGGGGAGGAACAAGGAAGCTTGAGCAGATCCTCAAAGCCTTTGTGATCAATAAGAGACAGAAGTTGGGGAGGAGAACTGCCCGACTGGAGAAGCCACCAATAAAAGACACTATGAACTAGGAATGGAACAAAGACTTCCTGAATCCATTGTCCTCATCAGTTTTGGGCAAGGATGAGGAATTTCGGTAGATAGCTACACTGGCTTCAAGATGATGAGAGCTGTAGTCTACCACATAGGGAGGACCAGACTAACCCATTGAAAAACATGATCCTTACAAGCATTCTTAGCTAGCCTGGAGCATGCATCTCTGAGGGCTTGGTTGTCTGTGCATCAGGTCAGAAAACTGGATGCTTGAACAGCTTCCTATGACCTCCATAGATCTTTAGAGACCTCTGGGAAAAATCAGGAAGCTGTGTTTGTACCAGCTGGCATTTATCCCTAGAAGGGTTAATTCCAGTATGATGCCAGATAATCTGTTCCCAGTCGTATCAAAATTCATTAAGGTATAACAGGTTGCTCCATTGTTGGCAGGATTCCAGGCAAATTCAGACTTTCCGACCTGACGCATGAACGCACAAGCCTGGTTGGACTTTGAAATGGGGGTAAATCACACAGGGACAAAGCCCAGACTCACTGCACCAGTTCCAGCGTTGCGTGCCTCTTGGCCTCTTCCACCAGGGCCAATGCAGCTTCGTCCGTCACTGAGTTGTAGGCCACATCCAGTTCCCGGAGGTTCTGGTTCTGCACCAGGTGCTGAGTGATCAGCTTCACGCCCTGGTTGCCCAGCGAGGTGTGCAACAGGGAGAGGTGGTTCAAAGAGGTGTTACCAGCGAGAGCTTCTGCCAGGTAGTGGGCACCCTGCTCAGTTAAAGGATTGTCTGCAAGCCTGGGAGATGGTGCACAAAAGGAGATCAAGAAGAGCAAGCCAAGTTTAGGAAGTTGGTTTCAATTTTAGGTACCATCTATTGCAAATTTTAAGAAGCACCTCTTCATGTATTACTGATCGGTTACATCTATATCTCACCCTTCCTCAGGATGGCACAGAAGGCTCTCCTTTGTACAACAACAACCCTGTGAGGCTGGTCAGGTCTAAGGGACTGTGAGTGGCCCAAGGCCACCCAATGAGGTGAGTGGGGATCAAACTTCAGCTGAGCCCTTTCATCAGAAAGCAAGAATTAAAGTGCCCCTTTCTGTGAGCAAATATCCAAATTAATTCACAAGCAACGTGTCTAAGAAGTTAGTTACATTGGAAAAGAGACTAAGTTCTCTGCATGAAGTAACTATCCAAATGTAACACAAGGCTTTGGTTATTGTGGGGAAAAGTAATTTCAACTAACTAGTTCTTCTTACTTCCGAGCTACTGCTCGCCTGTGTTGGAGATACACCTTTCCCTGCAGCCCTTCCTCACTCACCTTAAGGTGTTCACCGCACACTTCTCGTGCAAGAGAAGATCCTTGATCACTTTGCATGCTTCGGGTCCCAAACTATTGAGCTGCAGGCTGAGAGGAAGAAGCAGAAGAGCCTTTTAAGGTAAGAACCAGACACTCAAGTCTCTCTCATGCTGCTCACAGTTTGCCACCCTCTGGAGAAAAGCAACACTGCAATCCATTAAACCCTGAGGAAAACACATAATACAGCTGATTGAGGGTCAAAGGTTATGGCCAAAGGAGCCGAAACAAAATGGCGCCAGGGAAATGGCCCTACGAGAACAGCCACACACAGTTGCAACACAGCTGCACCCATTGCGTCCTCACATGCACACACCAGCAACTCACTGGAGCTTTCTGCATCGTAGCAAGACGGGGAAGAGAATCTGCAGGCTGCTCACATCAAGGTGGCAGGAGGCCAGGTTCAGTTCTTCCACCTCATGGCTGGTGGTGCCCACCACGGCTGCCAGGACGCAGCATTTGAGAGGGGTCATCTTGACCGAGGAGAGGTTGATGGTCCGCAAGGACTGGATGGCTTCCGCGGTAAAACGCTCGTTCTGGAACTCGTGCAGGAAGAAGAGGTAGTCCATGAGCTCGGAGGGCGGAAGGCCCTTGCGGCTGTTCCGGATGACCGTTTTCTTCATGGCCTTGGCGATCTCAAAAGCCGTGAGGTTCTTGATGGGGCAGCCCAGCTGGTCCAAGATGGCCCGGTTACGCCGCGAGAGCAACCCGCCCATGAAAATGGGGAAGAGTTCGAAGACCTCGTCGTCAGGCACGTCGTCTGGATGCCGCATGGGGCCTTCCACCCCGAGGATGCTAAAGTTGATCTGGTCCAACACGTCGTCGTTGAAGTAGTCTTCCTCCTTGAACATCTCCACCGCCATGGTGCGGGCAATGGTGTCGCGGTCCTTGCTGCTGAACCGCGTGAAGTAACGGGGGAAGATCTTGATGAGGTTGAACAGGAGCGGCAGGATGCGCAAGGGCAAGAATTTGGAGACGAGGCTGATCACCAAGGCCACGTCTTCGCTCACCTTGCCGATGACCTCCGAGACTTCCTTGCCCACTTTCTGCACCAGGGTCTTCTTCTCACCCAGGACCATGTAGAGGGCCGCTAAATACTCCTGCATGGCAGGAATGGTGAACACAAATGTGTGTTCTTTCCCCGACTGCACGCAGGGCGTCAAGAAGAAACGGAAGACGTCTCTCCGGAAGACGTTCAGAAGGTTGAGCTCGCTCTCCGTCTTCATCTCCACCTCAAAGCAGCGGCGGAGGTCCTCCTCTGAGAAAGTGGTCTGCCGGGACATCACCCCCTCGTAGGCCAGCTTGCCCACCGTTTTAGCCACGTACTTCATCATGGAAATGTTAGAAGGGTCTGTGCTGTCCAGCACCTCCCCGCTGAAGTTGAGCCTCAGGAAGCTGGTATAGATGCCGGTGAGGGTCTGTGTTGGAGGCACCGACTTGGTGAAGTGAAGGAAGTGTAAGGTGGTGCACACCAGCCAGCAGTAGGACGGCAGGAAGCAGGCCGCCGCGATCTGGTTGTGTCTCTCCAGGTTCCTGGACAGCATCTCCACCAGGTTGTCTTGCTCGCTGGCCTCCTCCGCCGTTGGGGGGCCGGAGGCTCCAAGACATTCGGGCTGGCGCAGGCGCATCTGGAAGTAGAGCTTCTGCAGGTTGATGTCGGAGAAGCCACAGACTTCCACGTAGCGGCCCACGAATTTGCTGGGGACCCGGCGCACAGCAGAAGGACGCGTGGTGACAATGATGCTCGCCTGGAGGAAAGACAGGTTTTTTTTTTATTTTTCTCTACAGTCCCCAAAACTTCCTGCATTAGGAATTCTGAGAAATGCAGTATTAAAAAGGGAAAGGGACTTTTCCAAACTCAGAAACAACAGGGGCTTCTTATGGAATCAATCTCCTTAATCCAGACTGAGCTTGCAAGATAGCTTAGTGGTCTGGATATCTGGCTGCCGAAGTCAGAGGTTCGATTCCCCAGTATGCCTCCTGGAAGAAGAGCCAGCCTGGGTGGCCTTGGGCCAGCTGCACCATCCTAGGGCACCCCCTAGAGGAAGGGAATGGGAAACCACTTCTGTGTGTTTGCTGGAAAAAATACCCGGGAAACGGTTGCTATCAGTTGGAATCGACTTGACGGCATGCAATTATTATATTACCAATCTAAGTTGAAATAACCCTAAGAGTAAACTATAAGAAACCAGTGTTTAAGAATTGTTTACCAGCATGTGCAATATTTTATCTTTTCCAATAAATTGTTGATTACAAAATAATTTGAAAAAGTGCATACATGTTAAATGAGTCACTTAACAAACAGAAAATTATGCATGCAGTTGCTTGGAGGGACACGGCAGCTCAATCACACCACCCTGAAGATGTCTGGTCTGATTTTGATAGCTAAGCAGGGTCAGGGTTGGTCAAGCATTTGGATGGATGGGAGACCACCCAGAAATACCACTAATGTCCACAAAGGGCTAGAAAATAATCTAGCAAACCATGAATAGAAAACTGAGAACATTGAGCTAGAACAAGGGAGTTGCTGTGCTTTCCCACAGCCACTGCATACCTCTGGCAACATATATTTCCTGAGCAGGTTGACCACGATGGCGGACGGAAGGATTGGCTCATTGGGGTCACAGCAGAGCTCCGTGCGGGCCAGGCGGAAGTCCAGGTTGAGGCGGTCCAGGCCGTTGAGGATAAAGAGCACTCTGAGATTGGTGGTGCCCAAGACGGGGACCACTTCCCGGAGATGAAGGTACTTCTTGGTGATCAAGCGCCGCAAGGAGATGGGCGCGTTGCTTTGGGAGAGGTCTTCACAAGAGAACGGGATGAGCAACTCAAAGCGGGGCAGGCGCCCGTGGCACCAATCCATCACCATCTTTTTGATGAGGGTGCTCTTTCCCGTGCCCACTGTCCCGTACAGGACCACGTTCTTCACCTGCTGCCCACAGGCATCCACGTCGAAGAGATTCTGGAGGCCGATCACCTGGTTGCAGGAGGCCTGGAGCTGGTTCTGGATCGTCAGGTCCGGAGAGGGCTTCAGGATCTCTTCTAGTGAACTTTCCCGGATCACGGGGTCCACGTGGATGGCGCCCAACGCAAAGGAGGGGCCAAACTGTCTCTCTTCGTTCGGCTGCTGGCGGAACCAGTTCGCTAGGCTTTTTTGATGCTTCTGGATGGCCTCTGAAGGGGAGCAAAATAAAGAAGTGAGAGGAACATGCCTTCCCAGCCTAGGAGGTGAAAAGAAGAGGCATTCCTGCACTACCAAGATGTACCCCAGCACCATTTTCCATATAAGGATAAGAAAGTAACAGGGAGAGGTATTCTCACAGCATTTCTCTAACTGGAAAAGAAAGCAAGAAGAGGAGGTGTCCAGGACCCACCCGCTCTCCCAGTCCAAAAAGAAACAGGAGAGGAAGATGCATTCCCACATCATCAAGAAGCATTCTCCTATTATTATTTTTTTAAAAAACGTTTTATTAATTTTTTTCAATATATCTACATTCAGTTCGTGCTTGTTAAACATCATGTTACATGGTTGCTTATAATTATTTGTGTTTTGCATCTTGGTGTCTTCTTAGTTGTCCCTCTGAAACTATACATTTTTTTAAACATTTAAACCATTCATGTGTGTATTTGAGTGTACAATATTGGCTAGTATCATAATAGTGTTCTCACAGTATACAATGTTCTCAAAATCTTCTAATAACCTACCTAATATTCTCCTTTTTTTTTTTTTGAAAGCACAGAAGAGTAAAAGATCCCCTAGAGGAAGGGAATTACAACACTCTAAGACAGGCAGTTCAATTTTATTGATTTTATTTACACTCCACCTTTGTGACGTGCAAGACACCCAAGTCCCAGCCACAGTCTTGAATATGACCAAACTCCCTAAACATGTATTAGGCTGATTTTTTTTAAAAAAATATTTTTTACCGGGAGTGCCCACATTCTTCAGTGCCATCTGGCTGAGCTTGGGGGAAGCAGGCTGAGCTGGTGCCTGTTGATGCCCCGCAACATGGCAGGCAGAGGACCTGCAGGGGAGGAAGGGACACAGGGTTGAGAAAATTAGCTTTCCGCCTGCTAGGACGCCGAGGCCAAAATGCATGTTACAGATAATCACTCTAGAGACACAATTCCGTCCGATTTTTGTCCAGATTTGCAGAGCAAGCCAGCGTTTACCTTCTGAAGGCCAAGTACAAAACCAAGCCAGCTGGTGCGCAAGATACAGGAGGCGAGGAAAGCTCCCGAGGCTACCATCACACACCTTTAGCACTTGAGGAATTTTGCGTCTAGTGCCGATGGTGTGTGAATGTCACACCCTTGTTTCTTGGCCTATAAACTGAAATCCCACCCAGAGATGTTGAATGGCTTTCAGTGGTCCTTAGTGAGACATCTCTCCCCCACCCCCCGTGCCATCCTCTGCTACCTGGTTCTTCTAAGTGGAGCTGGTGGGGATTGAGCCTAGAACTTCTGCAGACAGGACATGTGTTCAAAGCACGGAGTTATGCACATACTTTGCCACCATGAGGACACAGAGGCCCACAAAACTCTGAATACTAGACAGAAAGAACAAGATGGAGTGACCGTCCACCCACCACTACTGGCCTTGCAGGTTGGCAAGTCTTCCTCTTCCGTTCTCTACCAAGGCCTCCAAACTACTGAGCTGAATACCACTTTAAAGGTTGGGGGGTCGGGAATCTTCCGATTTGTGATGAGGCACCTAGACTTCCCAGCTGGAGAACTTTCCTGCCCTTCCCTGGATTACATCCCCAAAGACTCACAGCCTCCATCAGCGACAAACCCGGGGGGGGGAGGGCAGGGTGTGTGTGCACAGGACAAAGTCTCCAGCTGCGAGATGTCTTTCGTGCAGACACATTTTAAAACCGCTCTGGCGCCTCAAGAGGGTCCAAGCAGGGTGCCATTCCTTACCTGAGAGGGGGCCTTAAGGAGCGCAGAATCCAGCCCACGTGCAAGAAGCGCTTCAGGTCAAGTCTGCTCCCTGGATCTCAGAGAAGGAATCCCAGCACGACATTAATACCTTCTGTTGATCTTGCTCCAGGATTTACTTACTAATTTACATACTACAAATTACTGCAATTACTGCTGTTACTACAACTACATACGACTCATCTTAGAATGGCTATCAAGGAGGCTCCATGGGGGAATCAAACTCCCAACTTCTGATGACATATATACTATAACAACAACAACAACAACAACAAGGCTATCAGGGAGGCTCCATGAGGGAATCAAACTCCCAACCTCTGATGACATATACACTATAACAACAACAACAACAACAACAACAACAACAACAACAACAACAACAACAACAACAACCGTTTATACATAGTGCTACCAAGATATCTGATTATGTTCAATGGAAAATAACGTAGGATAACCTAGATCTAGAATGAAATTGTATATTTTAAATATTTGAAAAAGTAAACTGCTTTGAATGCACAAGTGGAAAGACATACCTGTGGAAACAAACAGACAAATGAATCAATGTTGTTTTAAAAAAAAGCTTCTAGTCCACATGAGCGTTAAAAAAAGGAGCACGCTGTCAGGTGGAAGACAATGGGCACAGACCCATAGCTTTATGGAGGAGGTGACTTTTGAGGAAGATCATGAAGGAAAAGATGGAGGACAAGGGGTAGATGGACTGAATGTTCTAGACAGCACACATTGCATTAAAAAGAGAGAGAGAGAGAGAAGAAGTGACATGCTCAGAGATACTCTTATTCCTTTAAACACTTCCAAGCCCCTCTCACAAAAAACAGGTCCCAGAACCTGAGCCATTGAGTTGGAACGGATGTATAGCAACCTTAATAGGGTTTTCGAGGCAAGAGAGAGGTTTTAGCCATTCTGCCCTCCGGTGAGTTCCCATGGCTGAGTGGGGATTTGAACCCAGGCCTCCTGCCACCCTCTGCCCACTGCACCACACAACAGGGTTTCCAAAATCCTCCTTACCTGACACCAAGCCTATGGGCACAGCGGACGCGAGGAGGCCCCTGCCCTGGCGCCCGGACTCCAGGGGCTTCAGGCGGCTCCAGCGGCTTCTCCCATGAGGGAGGCATCTCCTGAATGGCATGGCGGCAGGATCCTGACCTTTACCTGAAATAGACCACATCAGGGTCAGGAAACAGAGGTCCCTTCTCCTTCCTCCTGGTAGAAATCGCCTCTTCCTCAAACCTTTTGTGATGCTGTGTTTTCTCCATGGACTTAAATGAGGTTTAAAAAGACAGGGGAAACAAACGGGGTTGGGGGGGGAACCCCAAACCCTGATGTGCCTTCATTTCCATTTGGAGCTGGACAGAGGGTCCTTGGCCCACAGGCTTGCTTCACAGGACCTTCTGGTTCTGCTCTGCCCATCCAGCGACACAGACCAAAGGCCCTAAAAGTTGTGTAGCTGCTGTTTTGTATGAAACGTGGCCATTGTATAGCACGGTGTGCAAAGCAAGTTGGGAGGACAAGACCGAGGCAGAGGAAAGATGGAGGGAAGGAGAAAGAAAGAGGAAAAGAGGGGAGGCAGAGGAGCTGAAAAAGGAAGCGGAGAACGTCATGCATTTATTTATTTTTTTGCAAAACGGGCACAACCAAAACTGTTACCTCTTGCCTCCGATTTGTCTGGAGGAGGTTTTTCATCCCTTTGACAGAAGTCGCAAGCTTGGGTTTTGCAGAACCAGGGGCTTCCCTCCTTCAGCATACAATAAAATTATGTAGCAATTAAAATACAATGACAGCTGTGTTAGCCTTCTCTTCCTCCTCGGAGGCCCACACGCTCCAGCTGTGCCCACCTGTCTGCCCCCCACCCCTCCAGGTGCTCAACCCACCTTGCTCCCTTCTGCTCCCCCTCTCCAGAAGTCACAGCAAGCCGAAAAGTCATTATGGGCTCTCTCCTCCCCATAAAGGCACCAACCGACCGAGGGGAAGCAACCGCCAGGAACAACCTTTAGGACCTCGGCTTCCTGTGGCAAAAGGGTGGCGTGCCAGGCTAAGCAGAGCGAGTGGGTGGCGTTGAGCACCTCCTGACTCTGAGGCCCAATCACACCTTATACTGATTAAGGAAAACAACAATACATTCCACACCAAAGCAAATTAAACAATACTGTCCGAATCAATGGTGCAAAGCGTGTCCAGTTTTTGGAATTGTATATGTGTGAATATATGTATATATATATATATATTGCTTTGCATTCTGTAAACATGTGGAATCTTTTTGCAGGCTTTTTTGTTCTGAAGCCAAGACCCAGAAAATTGACTTGAATGCTTGTGAACGAGATGTGGCTATAACCTTATATTTTAAACCCAACGTTTTGGGGTTTATCATCACCCTATTCCCTTCTGCCTTCTCTGTACTTCGTAAGCCTGGGGTGGGCAACTTTCGGCCTTTTGGATGTTTTGACTGAACGACTGCCCCACGACGGATGATACACAGTCATAGGAGCTGTAGTCCCAAACCCCCTGACCTCTGGTTCCCAAGAGGCGGGGGGGGGAAGCGATCTTGGACTACATTTCCTGGAAGCCCTAGCACGAAGCGTCAAGGGTTGTAAGTAACTCACAAACATCTACAGCCACTGACTTAGTTCCTCACCTCCCTTCCCCATACTAGTTTGAAGTGTTACACAAGAAACCCAACAGCCATAGGTGCACTTACGGGAGAGTAAGCCCCATGGATCTCAGCTGGCTTTAGTTTGGGACCACTTGGACAGTCCACCCTTCTTACTGCCTGATCTAACTCCAAGGGCTGCTTTGAGGAGCCCGCTGGGAGAAGAGACATCGCCTATGTTTGCCTTGAACAAACTGGAGGACCAGCGAGGGGTAAATGGAACTAAGGAATAAATGTAAATAAAGCAGGTGTGTCATGCCGAGCCTAGAGCGTTTACTCCCAAGTCAATCCAAGGCAAAGTACTGTAGACTTTGCAATGGTTGTTATGACTGAGACAGGAAAACGCTGCTTGGAGAGCAGAGAGCAGAGAGTTAAGTTCAGAGCATCTTGGAGCTTGAGGTGTGTCAGCTCACACCTCACAGGAACTGCAATTTCAGGCTTGTCTGGAAAGAATTGCAGCTGGCGCTGTTGTTTTTATCGGCTTTCTCTAGAGACCAGGATGTCTGTGTGTGAGAGAGATTTTTAAATCACAGTGGTGCACTTAAGCAATCCACTAATCATCTCAGAACCTCACGACCATCTTTAAAGGACCATTTTTTGTCACTCACAGATTTAATCGTTCTGATTGTCCTCTTTACCTGGTGACACCTGTTACTTCACTTACTTCAAAACGTGGCCTCCTAATCGTTCGCTTTTAGGGCACCATCCTGCTCGTTCTACTGAGCGGGACTCTGGATTTCTCTCCCCCCCCCCCCCCGCATCCGGCCCAAATCCTGCTTCATGGCACCCTTTGAAACGCGATGCAAAGCGAGCAGGCGAGCAATGCATGGGAGGAGGAAGCCGGGGAGAGTCTGCTATTATCAGCACAGGGCCTGATCAATCAGGGTTTCCCAACACCAGAGTTTTTCTTGCCTCATCTGTTGCAGATATACAAAGAAGATAATTACGGCATCGCTGGATCTGCCTTGGGTCTGGGCAAGGAAGAAACCTTGAGGGAATAATTGCCCGAGCTGAATTTCCACCCTGTTTTTGGAAAGTGAGGGAAAGCATTATAAGAAAAAAGATCATTCGTCATGCCCAATGGAGGTGGGCTGGTTTCTGCTTTTGGACTACATCTCCCATAATCCCCGGGGGCAGCTACCCTGCGTGGGGAATTCTGGGGGTTATAATCCAAAGCCAAAAATTTGCTCTGAATTACAAAATTCAAAGGGACAGATTTCTCCATTTCCAGATAATGTGTGGTATTCCCCCCCATGCTGGAAAGTGCTTTGTTATTGATTTTGCTGTTGTTTTTTTACTATGGTCCGTTAGTTTTCAATGCTGCTGATAACATTTGTTCCTTATTTGCCTTCTTTCCATTGATCTCCAGACTGATCTCTATCTGCGCATTTTTATTTATTTATTTATTTCCACAACAAACTGGTGAGGCAGGTCGAATTGGGAAAGCAGGACTGGCCAAAGGCCATCCAACGAGCCTTACCGGCTGAGTACGGATTTGAACCCAAGCCTCTTAAGTACTGCACCACACTTTTCATATTGCATTTTAAGCTTGTAATATATTCATTTTGATATTAAGCTTTCCATTAAATTGAAAAGTGGACTGTAAGAGAATTTTTTAAAAAAAAAAATTTGAAATTTCAAAACTCCGGAGGCTAAATTGCAGATGGATTTAGATTTGGATCCATGGTAAACAAAATGAACTCTGTGCATGCTCCGTTTTAATTTCTCTCACAATTTCAAATACTGAACATTAGCACAAACAGTATATTGCTGTGCCAAGGGCTGGCTGCCTCTTCTCTCGAATTCAGTCCGGGATGGTTTCTCCCACAACCAACTGAAAAAAACCCTCAAAGCCAACCAAGAGAGGGACAAAAAAAACCCCACACATGTGGATGTGAAATGCACTTGAATCATCCAGAAAAGAAAGACGCGCTAATTCACATCTCCGTTTTGCTCTCCTCGAAATTTCGAGAGAAAGAACTATTTCTGTTCTCCTCTCCTTGTAAAACCCCGAGTCGGTTTGTACAATCTGTACGAATGATTCAGAAAAAGGGCCGCAGCCTGGCATAACCTGAGATAACCCTGTTTTAGGAACGAATCAGCTCCGTCCAAAACTGGGTCCCCACCCTAAAGAGGATCCCGTAGCATTTCAGACAAATGCCGAGGCCGTTTTCCACCCCAACGTCGTTGCACAGCGATAAACCTCGACAGAGAAATACAGTCGCATAGCCAGGGTTTTATAGGATCTTCAAGGTGACCGCAGGCGTTTGGCCAGTTCTGTTTCTCTCTTTGGCTCCATCCGTGGGCGACCCCTATGCCCTAGGGCTCGGCAAAGGTCAAAACCTCTGTGACAGCCGACACAACTTTAAGACTTCCGCTCTCCTTTGCATCACACCCACCGGTGGCCACCCGTCTGGAGGAAGTCTCCATGAAACAATGTCTCCATTCAGGTTTGTAGCTTGGGCATCCTTCCTCTTGCTCCAAATCACCGAGCCAGAGGAGTTCCCAAAGAGCCAATGAAGTGCCCGCCCACTGCCATCACCAGGAGACCCAGCCCTCTAGCATCATTGCCCCTTTAGACCCCGAGGGGTTTACCTCCAGTGAAGCTTTGGGCTGGTTGACATCCGGAGTCCCGGGGTCCTCCTCTCCTCCCCTGGGAGAGCGCGCATGTCTACAGAGTGTCACTGTGGATAGTTTTCCTCCTGCTTTCCTCCAGCCTCTCTTGGGCCTTTGTGACATCTGCAACAAGCTTTTCTCCCTCCCTCCCTCCCTCTCTCCTCTGGTTGCCTTTCTCTCTCTCTGCAAAAAAAAACCCTCTTGACAGCTCTTTTGCAACCGGGACTTCCTGAGAGAAGGAGTCATGGCCCTTCCCACTTCGGTTTCACAACCGCTTCTGGCTGCCTGGCACACAGATAGACGCACAGCTGGGAATGCTTCCAAAAGAAAGAAAAAAGCTTCAAGCAGGGAGTAGACTTATAAAAAGGAAGAGAGGCTTACAAGAGATCGGTTGCCACACACACAGAACTGTCAACGTGGAGTCCTCAGCGGCCTTTTCCAGCTGGGGCTTCTTTGCTTTTATTTTAAACAACTGGCCAGGAAAGGCTGCAACCCGGGCTGCGTGGTGGCAGGAAGAACAGGCTACGGTTCAGCAAAAGCCACAAGAGTGCGTTGTCACTTTGCACAACAAGGTTGCTTGGGTATGACGCCATGGAAGCCCCTTCCTCCCCCCTTCTACAGATGTCCTCAAACACCCAGCCGTCTTTAAAAGTACCACCAGATCGTCTGCTGATTTTGCCCTGCCAGGTTGCAGCCGGATCGTGACTACAGATCTTTTCTGTAGAAAGATTCTGGCGGATTGGATTTATGTCTCACTCTGACGCAGGGCTTCCAGTGGCCGGATCAGGCCAGTGCCGCTCAGCTTAGTCCTTGGCACAGTCTGTTCCCAGAATATCTGCTGTGCAGCTGTTAAAAGGACAGGAAAGTTATGGGGAGAGAGAGAGAGAGAGAGAGAGAGAGAAAGGAGATGCCATTTGAAATACAAACCCTCCTTTTAAATGAACCCACACAAGCCCCTCTCCTCTCTGGAAAGACTGAAGGCTTACTTTACGAGATGTGAAACATGGGCTGCAGTCAGATCATCATCACCATCATCATGTGCTGTCAAATCCATCCTGTCTTATGTCAACCCTTTTCAGGGTTTTCCAGATAGAGAGTAGTGAGAGGTGGCTTAGCATTCCCTTCCTCCAGGGTTGTCGGACTGCGCAGCCGGCCCAAGGCCACCCAGGCTGGCTTTTCTCCCAAGGGAAGCATGGAGGGGAGTCAAACTCCCAGCTTCTGGCTCGCCATCCCCTGCTGTTGTAACCCTCCATCAAAAAGAAAAATAGACTGAAGGCGGATGCTCCGTTCTTAGTCATGACAATAAAATTCCCATCACTGGGCTTTAGATGACTTCTCTAGCACAGACAGAAAGGAGATACTGGGAGGGAAACCCTCACACCTAAAATTTTGGCGTGGCTGCCCCTGCTCGGATCACAATTTGCCTGTAGAAAAGACGGAAGCTTCAGCTTCTTGGGAGTTTTCTTTGCAACTGATTATATTTTAAACGATTCCCAATGTAATGGATAGAATGATGAGACTCTGGAGAGCAGGGTTCGAAACCCCACTTGGCCATGGAAATTCCCTGGGGAAGCAGAGCTGGGAAAGCCACTCCTTAAATCCCTCACTTTCCTTGAAGGCCCTTTGAGGGTCACTATACGTTGGTTCGGATTTGACAGCACAGACAGAGCACACGGATTTTAAAGGGGTTGTGAGCCACACAGAAAAACAAGCATTGAAAAGCAAATGCTAAGATAGCAGCCCCGTTCAACAAAAACCCAGCTGGCACCAAGTGCTTCGCAGGGACTAAACAAACATGCGGTGAAGAGGGCCTGCCATTCCCCCCCCCCTTTGATAGTTCCGGATTAGATGATGGGGTTCAGGGCAGATGATTTTCGGTTCAGCACCAGGGCAGACCTGCAGAACTTTTTCCAGTTGGAAAGCCACTCTCCAGATCTTCAGCAATGATGGTGTTCCAGCCGTTCCAGTCCAGCCCATGATTCAGGCTGGCTGGCTTAGTCACGGGTGGCAAATATCTCTGGGGCAGGGGCATGGCATTCCCCAGAGATTTCTGGGCTTGGGACTAAAAGCAGGCCCTTATGATGTTTGTGGGACCTCAGTCCTGTCACTGGCAAACTCTGTGTGTTTCTCAGGGTGTGAGAAAGACAATCAAGGGGACAGACAGACAACCCGGAGGGTCTATAATGTATTTCAAAGCCAACCTGTTAATTCCAACAGAGGCAACAGGTCTAGAGAAGAGCAGAGGAGGAAAAAGACAAAGCTGCTTCTGGGAATGTCTAAATGGCATCACATGAAACCGAAAGAGTGAACTTCAACATCTGGACCTGCCAAGCCAGATGTTTCTGGTCTGAGAGTAGAGTCATAGGCCCAGAATGAGAGATTTGACAACCCGGAAGGGTGTGTTGACTACAGAGAAGGACGGCTGTTGTGTCCTTTCCCCTGCCCTGGATGCTAAGATTGGCTTGTGGCTCCCCAACAGGTTTGCTAGCAGATCCTAGCAAATTGCACCATTTGGGGCTGGCAGCTCCCCTTTGGTGTACCCAGTTTTTGTGCGTTGGTGGGGAGCACATCACGACCGAACTCTCAAGAGACAGCCTTATCGCCCACCCTGGTCCTTCCTCGTTTTTCTCCTGCGCTCCTTTCAGCAGCCAGATTACACAAAAAGTCCAGAAACTTGGACGGAAGGGAAGGAATCTCACGGAGAAGCGATTAAGAACATTTCCAGATTTTCCTGTTCGGGCAGGCCTCCTTGAATCAAGACACGGGGCGGAAATGGGACGGTCCGACTTCCTTTCCGAGGTGGATTATTTCTGTCCAACTCTTCCCTCCTGAGACCAGAGAAAAAGCAATTCTACGCTGCAATAATATTACTAACAATGCTATAGGGATGCTACTACTTTTTTCATGACGCATTTCATGAATTTCCACCGCACCTTCTCCCACCCTCCTGCATGTTGCACACGTCCCCAGAAACGAGACAGAAGAGGAGAGTATAAATATAGGTTTTATTAACATGTGAAAACCAACAGTAGGCCTGACATGAACGCATGAACTAAACAGGAAAGACCAGCCAGATTCAGGCACAATTCTGACCAGCCGCACCCGTGGGATCAGCCATTAGACCCCATCATCCAAGCCTGGGTGATCTCGCGCTTCTGAACCTGATCTGCCTGCTTTAATGCGCCTGTATGGACTTAGGCTCCCTTCCCCCACCTTGTGCAAATGTAAAAAGTTCTCAAAGCTATGAGAAGTTGGCTTTTTCCCTCCCCCCCCCAGGTGGTGGATCCCATTTTTTAAAAGACAGACCCAAATGGGTTGTGGGGGTTTTTTTGGGGGGGGGAGTGGAATTTAAGACTGCTTGGGTCAAATTGAGCAGCCATTCCTTGGTGGAAGCGGGCACTTGATGGAAGTGTTCGGCAATCGCCATGCGTGCCAGGTGGGGCTTCCCACCACCACCACCTATAATCATAGACACATTTCCGTGAAATTAAGCTTCCCTGGATTCCCTGGGATTTCAGGAGTGAACTTGTTTCAGATTGCACTGCAAAGCCAAAGGAATAAAATTGCTTTTTTGGGGGGTTCAACCGTTCCTGCAATCTCGTGCTGGCATGGCTATATGGAGATTTACGTATATGGCTATGTACTTCCACTCCCCCCCCAAAAAAAGTAATCTATCCCAGATCTGTGCAGGGCTGGGGGGGGGCAATCTCAAGAACATTCGCCTTGGATACAGTAGGACTTACTTGGGAGTAAGCATGCACAAAAAGCTTTTGTGACTTTTACATTCCTTGCTTACAATTTTGGCTGTTGTCTTTGTAGTTGGTTTTCAACCGTATGCTCTTTCTATCAAGGAACCCCGTTAGGTGGACAATGGCTTTTGATGTCCCTGTTGTTGTTTCTAATACTGTAAGCCCTAAAAATAGCTTAGCTTAGATATAAAAACACTGAGAAGGGAGCACTGGCTACATTTATTTCCAGATGTCCTCACCAATAGAAAGAATAGCTGGTTGGATAGCTCCGTAGTTTAGGCCTCTGGCGGCAGTTGGGAGTTTGATTCCCCCAAGGGGACTCTGGGGAGAACAGCCAGCCGGGGTGGCCTTGGGCCAGCGGCACCATGGCCCCAGGGCACCCCTGAACGAAAGGACTTAAAAAAACACTTCTGAGTACTCTCTACTTGGAAAACCCGTGGAAAGAAAGGATTGTCGCAAGTCTAAAAGGACTTGATAGCACAGAACGATGGTCATTACAGAAACAGTAATGTGTAATGTACATCTTTCTAGGAAGACACTTACACCCCTCTTCCAAAATCCGCCCCACCGTTGTTCACTTCTGAAGAACAGAGGAGGAGTAAGAAAATGGTTTTTTTTATTGCTTGACTTTGGAGGGGTGGAGAGGAAACGGACGGTTCCCTTGTCCTCACACCCCATCCTGCATTCTGATTGCCTCGATCTTTGTAACAAGGGTTAAGATGACATCTTGTGTGCTCCACAGAGAGATATGGGTGAAACGGCACTGCTACGAATGGGCTGCCTCTCCCGTTTCTTCATTTGTGACAACCGGAGAGAGGATAATCGCAACACCCTTTCGAAAACTCTTGCCTTTATTTCTATTTTGGCTAACATCTTAACCAGCCCTGGGGTGCGGGGGTGGGAGCCCACATACACTGACATTGTGTATACAGTAGTGCCTCACAAGACGAACGCCTCGCGGGATGAAAAACTCGCAAGACGATTGGTTTTTGCGATCGCTATGGTGCCTCACAAGATGGTTTCTTCTATGGCCGTGCTTTGCAAGATGTCCCCCCCCCAGCTCGATGCCTCGCAAGACGAAAAAAATTCATTGCAAGATGTCCCCCCCCAGCTCAATGCCTCGCAAGACGAAAAAAATTCATTTGTCTTGCGAGGTTCCCATAGGAATGCATTGCAATGCATTCCTATGGGAAAACGCTTTTCGCAAGATGATTTTTTTGCAAGACAGCGCTTCTCATGGAATGAATTATATTCGTCTTGCGAGGCACCACAGTATATAAGACATTAGTTTCCTGATTTATAAAATGGGAACAAAGGCAAACTCCAATAAGGATAAAGGAAACAAGGAAATGGTGATGTTGATCTCAGCTGGACAACAAGCTGTTAATTGCTATTAATTATGCTCTCCCTTTCTCCCCTGCTAGACCAGCTGGCAAACCTTGCGTTCCTTCAGCAGCTTTCTCCTATGAGGCAGAGCTTGGAATACCTGAGGAGTCCAGTAAATATTTCCGTAGGTTGTAAGGCGTCCTTGTTCCCCTAACCACCTGCTTCCAAACCCGCCCATTCCTTCGACATCTACTTGACATGCACACACGATTCATCCCTAGCAGCCTAGAGAAATTGAAAGTGCTGATTTGAGTCAAGATGGGGGTGTGGAAGGGTCCAGAGAGAAAGAGGGCCACCCCAAAACTCACCGACGTTCACTCCTTTTCAAGGAACAAAGCTTCCTAAAGTACATCACAACCTATTCACAAGTAGGAACACAGCGCCAAAACTGAATTTCATGGGACTGCAGTTCTCAAGACTCCTGCAACTTGGGGAGTTCTGGGTTATGTAGTCCAGCAAAATAACATTCTGAAATTTAGATCGGAAACATAAAACATAGCTTTGCAATCAATCTATATTTTTAAAAAAGAAGACACCTGCTCTCTTTGGTTCCTATCCTGCAACGAGTTCTTACCATCAGATCCTTCAGAGGTTCAGGGTAGTTTTGTTACAAGACAAGACACTTGAACCGGAAATATGACCCTGGCTGAGATTTGGCTGGGCTGCAGTACAGTTGGAGGGGGGGGGTGTCCCTTTGAAAATCACCTTTCACCTTCCAAAGCACCAGAGGTAGCAACAGTGAGAAACCCCCCCCCCAAAAAAAATCGGTGCCAACCGCTAAGACTGCAGGAAAAAGAAAATAAATGTATCCTCAGTGCATCTATTTGTCTTGCACGAGTCCCTCCAGAATAAAAAGACACGGTGCAAGAAACACATTAGTTTGTGATTACGGTAATACTGCACAAGCTTGACAGTCAGGCTGGACTCTTTCACAGAACAGATCTTTTTTTAAAAAAAACCTGATTATTTGGCTCTTGAAAGAAAGCAGTTCTCAGACCATCCATTTTAAACCAGTATTTTTTGGGGGGGACCGGTGGCTACAAATTTGGCTCCAAGTATTATCCCTGGGTGGCCTGAGGTGAATAGCTCTCAACCCCTCAGTATTGCTGCCTGTAAAATGGGAACAAACGCCTCCACTCAATTTATTATTGTTATTATTATTTTGCCAGGGTTACCCCAGTAAAGACTGCACAGCGCTCCAGCACATTTTAAGCCCCCCAGCGACAACATTAAACAAGACAGCAGGACAGAAAGAGTAAAGACGCCTCGCTGATTGTCTTTGTATTGAGCGATTGCATCTCAGCAAAGGAAAAAATGGTAACCTCCAGTTGTAGGTTAACACTGTGGTGTTAAAGGTGGAAATAAAGAACTTTAAAAGCATTTAAATAAGCATTTTGCGCACCTGTCCACCACAGCAGCAAAAATATTACAGGCAAGGTGGCCCAAACATGGCATGACAGAGTCACTGTGACTTACGCTAGCTACATTCATGGTCTCCCTGTCCACCATAGTAGCAAAAATATTACAGTCTTCCAGGTGGCCTGAACATGGCACGACAGAGTCATTGTGACTTACGCTAGCTACATTCATGGTCTTTCTCAGAATTTTGATTAGGTCCAACAGGCTGTTCAGGTTTACTGACACAGCACTCTGAAAAACCTGCAAAGCCCGTTTAATGCCAAGCAGGAAGAGAAAACAGAGGTGAGGACACCATGAGTAATGATGGCTCTGTCATGTCAGTATGAATGTTCGTGATTGTCTCCCATCTGTAAGTGCAGCGAATCCTTTTAATGCTTCTATAGAAATAAGACCCGTGGGGCACCGATAAATTCTGCACCAAACAAAATTCCGCATCGTATGAATGCAAAATTGTTCAATTTGCATATTTAACTTTTTTTTTGGCATAATGTGTTCCATTGCTTTTCATTATTAACAAATGGTTTATCCTGATTTTGATCGTTGCAGAAAGGGAAAAAAGACCATGGGGAGCAGCAGTTTCTCCAGCCAAAAAACTGAGGTGCTGAAAGAGTGACATTCTGCGCTTGACACAACATTCTGCGCTCAAGCATAGTCAGGGGAGAAACCCAGCCCACCTAACAGTTTCTGGCCCTACAGAGGCCCTGCTCCGTTTGAGGCTCAAGGCCTCGATTCTCCCTATAGAATTGTCCTGGGGAGCTGATCTTTCTGGTCTCCTGGCCTGGAATACTTGCTAAATAATTCTTCTCAAAACAGTCTTTTGGTTTCTCCTAAAGAATTCAATAAGAGAAAGAAAGAAAGAGAGAGAGAGAGAGAGAAGGAGAGAAAGAAAGAGAGAAAGAAAGAAAAAAAGAAAAAGATTATGGAGGAGAAGAGGAACAAGAGGGTGAGGAGAGGAAATGCAAAATATTTTCCGCCACTATGGTTATAGGAAACATTTAAAAGCCTTGTGCAGAACACACTCCTAAGCAGGTCTTTCAATGTCTTAATAGTAAGGTACACATGCTAACAGTTACGTCCGCAAGCAAGCGAGTCAAAAACAGCACGAAAACAACAGCGCTACAAAACTGTGCTTTGCAGGAGGACATCCTGGCCTGGCGCCGACCCTATTTTCCGCCACTATGGTTATAGGAAACATTTAAAAGCCTTGTGCAGAACACACTCCTAAGCAGGTCTTTCAATGTCTTAATAGTAAGGTACACATGCTAACAGTTACGTCCGCAAGCAAGCGAGTCAAAAACAGCACGAAAACAACAGCGCTACAAAACTGTGCTTTGCAGGAGGACATCCTGGCCTGGCGCCGACCCGACCCC